TCCGCAAAGCTTAAGAAATATTTGTTAGGCACAACCATGGCTGGGTTCTTTTGGAGATTCTGATTTGGATGGACCATCGCACTCATCCAATGTATCAATTACCTTTATCAAAGGACCTAATCTGCTTATTTTTGGCAGTTTACTGCTAATAGCTAGCTCCTTCATGAAGCAAGAGTAGGAGACTACTATGTATGTATTGTCTTGATGTGTAAAACAGAAGTCACCTTAGTTTTTGCTGGATGTCAAAATAGAGCTAATCTAGTCCAACCTTATTTTCGACAGATGCCCCCAGAGAGAGGAAGGAACCTGCCCATTGTACAGCAAAGATCCTCACTTCTAAATGAGCTCCACAACTTATGGCCTCTGCATTTTATAGGTGGGAAAGCAGATGCAGACAGAAAGAAATACCTGTCTAAGGTCATTTGGAACTCTTAAATTCTAATCTAGATTTCCCCTGAACAAAGTAGCCCCTTCCTGGCTAACCACCTGATACTAAGCTGAATCTTATTCACTAGGTTCCTAGTACCTAATGAATTGCCTGGCTCATAGAAGAATGAATGCATAAATTAATCATTTTTTATTAAGAAGGTTTTGTTTTTACTTGCATAATATTTTTTAAATATATATTTTTATTGATTTCAGAGAGGAAGGGAAGAGAGAGAAAAAAATCAATGATGAGAGATAGGGCCGTATTATATAAGCTCAAAATCTGGGCTGACATTTTCCAATTCTATTTCAATCAGTTACTAGCTGTGTGATCTTGCACTCATACATCAATCAGTTTCTCTGCTTCTTCATCTATAAAATGAAGATAATAGTGCAATCTATCTCATGGGACTCACATGAAGATTTAGTAAAATAATACATGTAACTTGGCACACAGCAGCCACTCAATAACTATAAATTTTCTTTTTATATAATGGTTTACCTAATAAATGTAGTAAACTAAGAGTGTAATATGTTCCTATTGCTATTGCTAGTAAATGAAAAGAGTGGCCATTAGGAAAGGGGCCAAAGAACCTTCAGGAAGAAATCATCTTGGGGACTGATATAAAAAACAGCTAGCACATCCAATGTCAGTAAAACTCCTCCCTTGAAGTAAAATCATGCCAAGGTTTAGCTACAGTATTTAAAAATAAATAGCTGTTGCTGATATAATTAAGGTTTAAAAGGAAAGAGACTGCCTTGGCCAGTTTGGCTCAGTGGATAGAGCGTAGGCCCAAGGACTGAGGGATCCAGGTTTGATTCCAGTCAGTGGCATGTACCTTGGTTGCAAGCACATTCCCAGTAAGGAGTGTGCAGGAAGCAGCTGATGGATGTTTCTCCCTCATTGATGTTTCTCTCTATCCCTCTCCCTACCTCTCTATGAAAAATCAGTAAAATATATTTCAAAAAATAAATTAATAAAAGGAAAGAGACTTTGGAAGTCAATGTGCTTAGCTCATTTTTGGCTCCTCTCCCCCTGAGATAAGGTGACTGTGTTTGTGCCTAGAGTAATTTGTTTCCATAGATCTCATATATACAAGGATCTTTAGTTCAATGTTTTCTATCATAGTACTCCTTGTTTTGGTATACTAAGAATTAAAAGAAGGCTTGCTGTTATATAAAAACAAAGCTATACCAATCTGGAGGTAGATTTCTAGAATCTTCTTGGAGCATCCTAGATAACAGAACTAACCTGACTAAGATCAGTATCCTCTACACACATCCTTGGCTTGGAATTCTATGGAAATTCAGTGTAATTAACACACTGTGGTCTGGCTCAAGACCCACCCCTAGAGCTCAACATAAATGAGAAAAAAATCCTCTGTAACATTCAAACCATTTTTACTGTATTTACAGAAAACATGAAACTACATCACCATATCTTTTTTTCTTTTTTTATTTATTTTTTTACATATTTTATTGATTTTTTTTACCCCCCCCTCCCTCCCTCCCACACATCCCCTCCCTCCCCAGAGTTTTTTGTCCATTGGTTGTACTTATATGCATGTATACAAGTCCTTCGGTTGATCTATTATCTCCCCCAGATCTTCCTCCCCTTACATCACCATATCTTAAGAACACAGCTATTGAGAACTGATTTTCTTAGTCTCAAATCTAATCTGCTAATGTGATTAATTTGTAACTAGGGTGTCCCCCGCCTTCATGTGTACCATGGCAGCTTCCTTAAGTATATTGCATTCTATTTTAAGCTTCATATTAGAAAGGACCAGTTTTCTATTTCCCTTAATTATCACAACCATCATTATCAAATATGTCCCTTTAGGTACTGCTTTCAAAGGCTGTACTAATATTAAACCAAGTGCATGGCCTTATCAGAAAACACAGCCATACTGAGAACAGCAGGGAAGCTTATGATAAATGATTGTAAGATAAAATAGCTGAGAGATTTTCACATTTATTCATTTAACTCCATATTTTTCTGCCACCCACTATTCATAATTCTTTCCTCAAAATAATACCAAAGGAAAACATTTGAGTGACATATAAAAAGACAATCTTTATTTTATTCAAACTTTCCTTTAAGAAGTTAAACACAATGACCCCTAGTTGAAGGCATTACAAAAAATGTTAACATTGTTTCACATATCCCTTTAGTGCCCAGATGAAGAAAACACTTACCTGAATGAAAGAATAAGAATGTACATTCTTACAGTAGATTTACTTAAGTATGCGGGGGTGGGGAGGTGGAGTGGGAGGGAGATACATATAGGTCAGACATAAAACAGTAATGAACCTACTAGTTTCCTCCAGGTGATGAGAATCCCACTGATGTACAGGATGATGCAAAAGTACATTTACAGTTGTGAGTACACAAAACATAGTTTATTTTTGTATTATTATTATTATATTATTATTTTCATATGAACAACTGTAAACCTACTTTTGCCCCACCCTGTATTAAATTATCCAAAAGCTCCCAAGACCTGGGGATCACTCTTCAACAATTAAAAAACAGCTATAGCTAGCTAATCCTATAACTCATTGTCCCCTTTTCCCTCAACTATTTTGCTACCCCCCAAAAAAAAATACTATTTTACTGCTAACAAATGAGAATGAAAAATACAATTTCCCCACTCCCAAGATGCATGACTATCAGTATCACTAGCTTCTTGGGTAAACAGTATCAAAGCACACCCTCACTGCATTGCCATCTACATAGAGTAAGAGGAAAAATGGCTTTGGGTAATGCATTTCAGTGTTCTGCCTCCCAGAATTATAAAAGACCTGGCTAGGATATAATTTCATTTCTACAAAGGAAAGCCAAGGTGTTGGGGTTTTTTGTTTATTTGTTTGTTTGTTGTTTTTGTTTTGTAGAAAACAGAACAAAGTGGAACATCCATGCCTGTCTTCCAGGCTCAATCTGACCTCAAAAATAAAAGTGCAGGGAGGCAATAGCTTGGCATCTACTATTGCTCTGTACCCCAATTTCCTCAGAAAAGCTGGGGACACAGTGCTCCTCTTCTGCAGTGCAAGCAGGTTGCTACTTTCCCCCAAACCTGTGAAGAGCAGGGATCTCTGATCTCCCTTCCCCTAACAGCAGGAATTACAAGTAGCACCATCTGGTTAATACCAATGGATGGATGTTTGGAGAACTGGTGATACAAACTTCTCAAATTCTCACTAGTAATCTAACTCTATCTTTGTAAAAAGAGAAACACTAGGAGGGCAATATCATTTCCATACTTTAAATTTGGAGGAAGTAGGAGTCAGGGGAATATATGTTGTGGGGATGGGTGAGAATGGAACCCTAGCATATGCAAAAATTGCATACAAACATTGGAGCCTTGGATGCTGGCTAGCTGTACAAGACACAAAACCTAATAACTATTTGTGACAATAAGGGAAAAGAGGGAAACACAGCTAATTCTTTTTATCAAGCAAATAGCAAAGTTCTAAGTGAAGATTATATCTCCTTTCTGTTTAGAAACTATATAGAGAAATAGTAAATGCTGAAAACCATCAAATAAATGCAGACCCATACGGAACTTACAAAATACGCAAAAACTTGTCATTGTTTCTCAGTCAACTCACAATTTACAAATCACTCCCTGCTCCTCCAGGTATTCTGAGCAGATTTATATTCTAATATCCAATGAAAGGTGAAAGACTACAATGAGGGAAAATACAAAAGGGGAAATCAGGTGTGGGAACGGGGAATTAAAAGGTCTGAAAAATGACTGGTGGAAAAAAAGAAAGTGGTAAGAATTGAGAAGTGGCAACCAGATTGTCAACCCTTCGATAGGTGCCTCACACCTGGGAGCCTAGCACAAACTGGACACATAGCAAATACTTGATTTTAGTAGTAGAGGTGAAGAAAAATCAGTATATCATTGGAGAATGCAGTGGTTCAAATACTAATACCCAGTAAGTCTTTCTGTCTCTGATGCCCTTAAAAACCTGCAATGGCTTTGAAAGGTACTGGTGAAAGAAGCTGACACTGCTTTTTCTGTAGTTGTCATCATCGTGGCCAACACTAATGTCTGGGCCTTTCAAAGTAGAGAAAAATGCTGCTGAAGGGATGATGATTCTGGATAGCCACAAGCATTACTTAATGGGATACCAAACAACATATATATTTTTTTCAATTTTGTTTGCTAAATGGTCTCTGTGACTCAAGTTAGACATTAGCATTTGCACCCAAAAATTAAAGCCCCCACAAATAAAATTTGTTGGCATCGTTGGACAAAATGAGTACAAAACAGGCATAGAACCCTCAGAAAGTTGTCTCAGCTCTTGATAAGATTAACTCTATCGGTATCATCGATTTTTGCTTTGCCCCCTAGTTTGAAAACTTCACAAAGATGCCTGCTTGTACAATTCAATGAGAATAATTCCCCTCTCTTTTCCAAAGGGCCCATTATTTTTAGTTTTTCGGTGCATGACTCAACATAAAAGCGTATGGCTCTTATGAGCTGCCTGTTTTTAAATGGTCCAGTAGTTTCAGTTTCCATTTAACAAGTTCTCAGATTGAATGTTCAAATAAGTGATTTCCATCACTGAGAGGTTCTCTTCAGGTTTTCTATCAGCACGACAGAATCGGTTTCTTCTTTGGTTTGCTTCTCATAGATATCATACTTCTTCCAGTGCTAGAAGAAAGGAAAAAACACAGACACGATGATTTTTCTAAATAATGTTCTTTCCCTGAGTACTCTTAGCCAATGCTTATTTTTAGCTTTACGTGCATGGAACCATGAGTGTGTGTTTCCTGTTATGTGTTGTTTTTTTCTTTTTTGACCTAAGAATATTCATCTATTTGAGCAATTAAAGAAACAAAACAATCAGGAATTAACTTTAAAGAAAGAAGAAAGCATGGGGTTGTTATGTGATATTGAATGGCCATCTTAAAAGATAAACTAATTTAGACATATCCAAAATTAAAAACAAAGTTTTTTTTTTGTTTGTTTTTTTGTTTTTTAAAGAAGAATAAAAGGACCGGGACCAGTTTGGCTCAGTGGATAGAGTGTCGGCCTGTGGACTGAAAGGTCCCGGGTTCGATTCCGGTCAAGGGGATGTACCTTGGTTGCGGGCACATCCCCAGTGGGGGGGGGGTGCAAGTGGCCGCTGGTCGATGTTTCTCTCTCATCGACATTTCTAACTCTCTGTCCCTCTCAATTCTTCTCTGTGTAAAGTCAATAAAATATATTTAAAAAGAAGAAGAAGAATAAAAGGGTGGTATACTTTTATTACTTAAAGTGTTTTAACTTTCGTTTTCTTAACACTCAAATTTTACTATTACTCCAGAGACATATTAGGTTCAAAAGTCAACTAGTATTTTAGTAAATGGCAATATTAATTGTCCCAAAAGTTTCAATGCAGTTAAAACTTTTGAAAGACCTTATATTAATAGTTCCATGTAACATCTTCTGCTAGAGCAGGGAATTATGCATAAGTTAAGCTCATCTTGAACTCAATTTAAGTGTGTCTCCTATGGTGAGAACCAATATCCTGGTCCTTGCCATCTTTACATGTAAATCAAGGAAAAGGGTAAAACCTAAGCTCAGTCCCTTCATCTGTAAAAGAAAGTTGTTAGACTAAACCAAGGTTCAGCAAACTATAATCTAAAAGCCAAAGCCAGTAGGTCACTTGGTTTTATTAAATTTTATTGGAACACAGCCACACCTACTTCTTCTGTTTGTCTGTGTCTGCTTTCATGCTACAACAGCAGAGTTGAGTTGCTGTGACAGAGACAAACTGGCTTGCTAAACCCAAAATATTTTTACTCAACCCTCTTTATCCACAGGTTTCACATCCACAGATTTAACCAATTCAGGATCAAAAACAGTATTTTCAACCCAAGGTTGATAATCCATGCATGTAGAGGGCCAATGCATTGCTTTATGCTATCTTATATAAGGGACTTGTGCATCCCAGATTTTGGTACCTTGAGGGGTGGGGTGCCCTGGAACCAATCCTCCATGGACAACTGTACTATCTGGTCCTTGAAATAAATAGCTTGCCAACCATTACCCTAGATTATTTCTAGGCTCTTTTTCTGATTTTATGTTTTATGGTTCTACAACCCTCAGAAAGGAAATGAAAAGAAGAAAAACAGAAACAACAGTAACAATGGCCATTTAGCTACCTCAGGTTGAGCAACTGGGGATGGACTGAGCAAGTACAAACCATCCAGTCATAGAAAGCCTATGGAAGGGTAAGTTGGGAAACAGTGCTTAAAATATTCCAAATAGTGTAAACAAATTATTTGTCCCTGATACTCCTAATAGAATGGTGGAAATAAGAAATACTGACAATTCCAAGTACTGACAAGGATAACTGAATCTTTTATACATTGTTGGTGGAAATGTAAAATAGTACAGCCACTATGAAAAACAGTCTGAATGTTTCTTATAAAGCAAAACATATGCTTTCTGCGTGACTCAGAAATCCCAACCCCTCGTGTTTAACCAAGAGAAATATGTCCACATAAAGACCTTTACAAAAATGTTTATAGCAGCTTTATTAATGAAAACCAAAAACTGAAGACAACCCCAAATGTCCTTGAATAAGAGAATGGTTAAATAAATGGTGATACAGCCATATCATGGAATACTGTTCAGTAATAAAAAGAAATAAACTATGAACATAGGGGTGCATATATCCTTTCTGAGTACTACAATGTGTAATACTTTAAACAATAAAATGAAATTTAAAAGAAGAAATAAACTATTGCTACACATAACAATGTGGATGTGTCTTAAATGCGTAATTAAAAAGGCAGACTCGAAAACTATGTACTGCATGATTCCATTTATATCACATTCTGAAAAAGGTAAAACTTTTGGGCAGAAAACAGATTAGTGATTGCAAGAGCATAGGGTCAGGGACTGAGGATTGACTGCAAAGGGGCAAAAGGGAGCTTCTGGGGGGATGATGGAAATGTCCTATATCTTGATTATAGTAATGATTATAAAACTGTATATATTTCCTAAAACTCTTCCAACTATAAACATCAAAAAAGTAAGTTTTATTGTATGAAAATCACATCAACAAACCTGATTTTTTTAAAATGAGAAATACACAGATTTCTAATGAAAATCTAAAAAAATTATATAACCTTGAAATAATGGCTTATTTAATAAATGGCACTAAGACAACTGGCTAAGCATTTTAAAAATAAAGCTAAATCCTACCTCACAGCCTACATGGATAAATTCCCTATGGATTCAAGACTGAAATATAAAAATCAAAATCAAATAAGTAGTAGAAAAATATATTAAAAAACAATTATATAAATCTGAGGTAGAAAAGGCATTTCTACACATAAAAAATAAAGAAAGATTTGATTGCATAAAAAAGAAAGAAATTTGTACATTATTAATGACAAAAGCAGATACAAATGACAGGGCAAAGGATTAATATCTGATATATAAAAAAAGCTTTACAAATCACCAAAGAAAAGATGAATATTTCAGGGAAAATGGACAATAAACAAGAATTGTACAAAGGAATCAATTCAAGCTAAAGAACATGAAAAATATAAAAGTGGATATGTAAAATTAAAACAAGATGCCTTCTCCTCAGCTATCAAATTAGCAAGACCTTTAAAAAATTATATTTAGGCAAAAGCATGTCAAAACAACCATTCAGTCATGCTACTGGTAGGTATATAAACTGGTATAGCCTAGTTATAACCTATACTTCTTGTGAAAAGTTTAAATATGTGTATTCTAGTTCCCTCATTTCTTTACTATGAAGGAATCACTCCCTACATATGTAACCAGAGTCTCTAATAGCATATATTCTATATTTTTATTCATCAGTAAAATACATCCACTTCATCTTCTTTAATCTCTGCATAATATTTCATTACACAAATGCACCATAATGCATCTAAACAGTATCCTTAAAAGATAATTAACCTGTATATCCTCTTTGTATGAAAATTTGTCAATATCAAATAATCTTCCTTGATCCAGCAATCTTACTTGTAACAATATATTCCAAGAACGTAATAAAATATATATGTTAATATTAGCTGTGAAATGATGCCTATAATAATGAAATTTAGAATTCATCTTAATGCTCAATAATGGAAACTTGGTTAAGTACATTATAACATATTTACACAATGGAATGCTGTTTAGCCAATAATGAGTATGATATAGAACCAGGGTTGGCAAACTTTTTCTGTAAGTGACCAGATAATAAATATTTTCAGATTTGAAGGCCATATAGTTCTGTCCCAGTAACTCAACTCAACTGTCATAGCATGAATGCAGTCATAGATAACATATAAATGAATAGGTGTGACTGTGTTCCAACAAAACTTTACTTATAGACATTGAAATTTTCAATTTCATATCATTTTCAAGTGTCATGATAGGATTCTTCTTCAGATTTTTTCTCAAATGTTTAAAAGTATAATAGCATTCTTAGTTTGCAGACTGTACACAAATAACTGGCAGGCAACATCTGGCCTGTGGAGTATCATTTAGAGAGAAATCCTTGCATAAAAGTGGTGGTTGGCAGCAGGGTGTGTGTGGGGTTTTTTTGTTTGTTTGTTTGTTTTTAATGTTTTCATTGATTTCAGATACAGGAAGGGAGAAGGAGAAAGGAGGATAGAAACATCAATTATGAGAGGGGATCATTGAACAACTGCCTTCTGCACGTCCCACCCTGGGGAATGTGCACTGACTGGGAATTGAACCATGACCTCCTGGCTCATGATTCATTGCTCAACCGCTGAGTCACTCCAGCCAGGCAGCAGGGTTTTTTTTTTTTGTTGTTTTTTTTTAATCTTTAAATGCCACCATAAAAACCACAAGTTAAAAAGTTAAGTAGGAAAGCGAAACCAAAATCCATGGACATAATCTACAACAAAATGAGATGAAAATTATTCCCCCGTGAACCCTGAAATATGGGTAGATAGGGACAAATTAGAGATAACTACAAGAGATAAATGTTAACAGTTATGGAAGAGTCTGCAGCAAGAATCAGCAAAGCATCTGACAGATGTGAGAACTGTGAAATAATTCACTCAAACCTCAGCAAGCTAATTTATGAACAACTAAGACTAACAGGGATATGTACCTTTAAAGAGTGACTGAGTGCAAGGAGTGCATGGTACAGCCAGGAGCTTCCTGGAACTTTCAAAGCCATCTAAAACCCCCTTTAAGGGCAAAGTGCCATTCTAAGAAGAAACTGGTGTGAATAGACTCCACATTGGCCAGGAAAGGGACAAGAGAGACAAAATAGAAAATCCAAACAAAAGTAGAAGAGACACAAAGGAATTAGCTATAATTTTGAGCAATTCTTAAAAATAATAGAAGATTGCCCAGACAGCATTTCTCAATGGTTGAGCATCAACCTAAGAACCAAGAGGTCATGATTCCTGCTCAGGCATATGCTCAGGTTGCAGGCTCCATCCCCAGTGTGGGGCATGCAGGAGGCAGCCGATCAATGAATTTCATCACTGATGTTTCTATCTCTCACTCCCTCTCCCTTCCTCTCTAAAATCACTAAAAATATATTTAAAAAAAAAAACACAATAAAAGATGGAACTGTATAGCCATACAATTAGAAGGAAGGGAAAAACACCACTGTCCTAAATCAAGCCTCCTGAAACTTCAGGGAAATTAATTTCTTA